AACCAATAGATAATATACAAATTTTAAATAATAATAATTTAAAGAAATGTAACTATATTATTGAGAAACATGGAGGAAGGTACCAGTGGTAGTTATGTTTTTGTGTCAACTTGTCTGGGCCTGGTTGAGTAGATAGGCAGCTGGTGGTAGTTATTCCCTAAGATGAGACTGGCAATCAATTCCATGGTGGAATCTACCACAAGCAGCTGAGTAGCTGCCTTTGGGAGATGGTCTGCTTTCTGTATATAAGGAGAAGCCTTGGGGATGGTCTCTAGCCTATGGCACTCTTGGACACTGCATGTAGCCTGCTATGGTCTGCCGACCATGGGACTTACAATGGACTTACATTAATGACCTGCCATGTGGTTTGGTAACATCAGGATTGTGCCTTTTTACTTGTCAACCTTGGGGCTTCTCAGCCTCAACAGCCAGCATCTGTCTGAGTGAAGAAACACCTCTAGCTCCAGTGGGCCGGGAGCAGGAGACAGAGCTGGACTCCAAGGTTGAGTGGCTTTCACCCAGCCCCTAGAGCTTGGCACTTTGAACTTGGACTTAAAGCCTCCAAATTGTAAGAATTAACTCCTGTTTGTTAAGGCCATCCCAATTGTGGTTTATTCTTGTCAGAGTGGCACTAGATAACCGGAACAGTACCCAAAGATACCTTTGAAAATAGTTGTTTCTAGCAAGCACACAAATTATAAAGATTTTTTTTTTTTTAATTTTCCCATATCTACATGATGACCACTATTATATAATTCAGATATTTGATATATAAAATACAGTTTTATCTCAGTGCTATCTTCTCAGTACTGGTATTATCTGTTGATACTTGCTTTTCCATTTGTGGTAATATTATTATATTAACTATGTATCATGAACATTTCACCTCAACTCATGTAGGCCTCCTTATCCTTCTTAATCATTGTATATGAATCATTTTATTGATATATCATATTTTTTTTCTTCTTTGTCAACTCTTTTTTTTATATACACATTTAGGATATTTCTGATGTTTTGCTTTTAGCAAAACACTTTGATGGACATCTTTTTTACTTTCACACATATGAGCTGTATTTCCTTAGGATGCATTGCTAGAAATGATACTGCCTAATCAACATTAACATTTTGATAAAGACTTAGACTCTTGCAAATCATACTACCTACAAATATTTATGAGTCTTTCCTGCAACAATTTCTTTATTTTTGGTTTATTGCATGAGCTAGAAATTCCTAAAGAGAGGGAATAATAACATGAGTAGAAATATAATTTCAAGAAAAATAAATTCTTCTTGAATTTAATGGGAATAATTGTCAGAACTGTTCTCTAGATAACAGTAAAAGAGAATATTTGCTTTTATTTATTTTGTTAAGGAAGAAACACTCTTGTTCTAATTAATGATGAGTTTTAATAAGGAACAAATGTTAAATTGCATTTAGTATTTGGCATTTGTCAGGTTGTTTTCATTGAATACATATATAACCAATGGCCAACAGATATATTCTTTGCTGGTTAAGTACTAGCAAGGCTACCATTACATTCCACAGTGGAATAGTTATTATTTAGAGAACATTAACTGTAGAATTGTGCTCTGCATACATTATTTTTTAAAACCAGAGACTGAATGATGAGTTAATTGTGCTAAAAGTGGATTCTTTGAAGGTCTGTAACTTTTTCTGATATATTGAAATACAGACCACTTGCTTGACCTAGTCAGGGAATTATACCTAAGGACATTTGTAAGGAAATACTTTCCATATAGTCAGGAGCTATATTTAAAAGACTGAAGAATTGTTATGAGCCTTTTCAGTACCAGCACTTTTGTTTTTGCTCTTTAGGGGCACTGCCATCGCCGGTATTGTATTTGGAATCGTATTTATCATGGGAGTCATAGCCGGAATCGCCATATGCATCTGTATGTGCATGAAGAACAACCGTGGGACCCGTGTGGGTGTTATCCGGACCACCCACATCAATGCCATCTCCTCATATCCTGGTAAGCAAACTGATTACTCCTTCTAAAGGAAGAGATCAATTTGTTAGTTTTGTTCTAATGTTTAGAACAAGAAGAAAATATTAGACTCTCACTGAAATCGTCTCCAAGTTATAGGATATTTCTAAGTAAATCAAATTGAAGCTCTAGCTTTTATTAAAGATTACTTAGATACAAGTAATAAAACCCATTTGGTATATGAAGATATTCATATTTTCAGTGGTTGTCTCCTAGACTGTAATTGCTAGCAGCCAGAGTTAAGATAGACACTTCACACCCACTGTGTCTACATGGCAGTAAGTTCTGGCAAATAATTCTAGACAAAGTGTAAGTTATATATCTGAATAACCTGGCATCTGATTCAATAGATATATCTATCTTGAGAAAAAGTATTGAAGAAAACTCTGATCTGTTCCCTTTATGCAAAAGAGAACAGTTTTAGCATAATATTAAAATTTCCAACAAGAAGCAATGTTAATAATAATGTGGAAAGTATTTGTTGAGAACTTGCTAGAAATTCTGCACATAAATGCATTGAGTGCATGTGATTCAGTAAACTAAGTATTGTATTTTTTCATTAGATGATTTCAACAATGTATTCTAAGTCAATCTATACAGGTACAATTTGACATATAAAAGGCAGTCAAGGTCTAAATTTAACACACCCTTAGCAAGATGATTCCCATCCACACTAGTGTCCTATTTCTCAGTGTCTATAGAAAAGCAACAGGTTGCCTTCTATATGCAATCTGCCTTGTGTAATTCTTCCTTCCTCCCTTTTTTCCATATTGTTTCAACTCAAGGGAATACATTTCAAATGAATATGAAAATGATCATTTCTCCAGTTTGTCATTGATGGCTGCTCCTCTTTTCCAATGTCTTCATGTTGAGTGTCCCAGGATTTAGTCTTGGGTCTTCTTCCATACTGTACCTATACTGACTTCTTTGGTTTTATCATACAGTATCAAGGAACATTTGTATGCTAATACTTCCCAAAGTTACAAATTTCCATCCCAAACTTCTTTCTGAATTTCAGATTCAAACATTTCACTGCCTATTGGATATCTGCACTAAAAATTAAAAAAAAAAAAAAAAAGAATTGTCATCAAGTTGAGTTTGACTCATTTTGACCTCTTGTTTTGGTTACCTAGTGCTGCTCTGACAGGAATATATCACAAATGGGATGCTTGAACAAACAGGAGTTTATTCTCTTACAGTTTGGAAATTTTAAGTCTAAGTTCAAAGTGCAAGGCTCTAGGGGCTGGGTGAAAGCCCCTCAATCTTGAGCTTCAGCTCTGCATCCTGCCCTGGCCCACTGAAGCTAGAGGCTTTTCTTCACTCAGACAGTTGCTGGCTGCTGATATTGACAAGCCCAAGGCTGACAAATAAAATGGCACAGTCCTTATGTTACTAAACCACATGGCAGACCATTAATTCAAGTCCATTAATTCAAGACCATTAATTCAAGTCCATTACATGCAGGGCTCAAGCATGCCATAAGCTAAAGACCATTCCCAAAGCTGTTTCTTATATATGAGAAGCAGACCACATACCCAAAGAAGCTACTCAGTTGCTCCAATAGATTCAACCATGGAGTTAATTACCAGTCTCACTATGGGGAATAACTACATCCAGCTGCCCAGTCACTTAACCAGGTCCAGACAAGTTGGCACACAAACTTAACCACCACATCCCTTGTGTGTCAGAGTAGAACGGTGCTCCAAAATGTTTTCAATGGCTGTGATCTTTCACATCTTTCAGGCCTTTCTTCCAAGGTGCTCTGAGTCGACTCTAACCTTCAAGCTTTCAGTAGCAGCCAAATGCTTTAACATTTTGCAACACCCAAGGACTCACATCTAAAGTGGAACTTTTGATCTTTTCCCACCAAAATCTTGCTCCACTCACAGCCTTTCCTGTCCTTCCAGTTGCTGAGGACAAACATCTTGGGGTCCTCTTTAACCCTTCTCTTCCTCTCATACTGATATGCAGTCTGCTGGGAAAATTTGTCAGCTCCACCTTCAAGATATATTCAGTTATCTAATTACTTCTCATAATACTTCCCTGATAGGAACCACCATCAGTTTTTACTGATAGCATGCTAACTGTTCTCATATCCTCAGCCCCTGTCTATTCACAATACAGTAGAGTGATCCTTTTAAAGTGACTGCTAGATCATATCATTCTTTTGCTCCAAATCTTCCAATGGCCCCTCATTTCACTGAGAGTAAGAATAAAAACTTTTACCCCATTTTACTCAAACTAAAAGAGTCTTTAGAGGGGTCTTCAAGGTCCTGCATGAATTTGCCCATTTTTAATTTATTTGACCAGATTTCCTTCTACTTTCTCCTTGTTCAAAAGTGTTCTCAGGACAACAAATTCAGGGACTTCTCCAGCTCCAGTGGGCTCAGGAAGTCTGGATTCCGTAAGAAATCTGAAGTTACATCCCACATATTCCCTCTTTTGATCAGAATTTATATATTGAGTCCTTGATCAAAACGTTAACTAATTGTAACTGGGCATCACTCAGTTCGTCTGATCTCATGGCAGAAGAGGAAGTAGTTTGTGGAGGCAACTAGACCTGAAGTCCAGTTCCTTCTCTGATTCCTGGGTCTCCTTCTTCCTCTGCTGCTCCAGGTGAATAGACACTAATTGTGGTATCTTGGATGGCAACTCACAAGCTTTTACGCTCCCAGACACTACTCACTGAACTGAGGAGTAGAATAGAAACTCTAAAATCAATGTTAGGCCAATTTGCTGGGTAGTCCCACAAAACCATGACACTAAACTTTCAAACCAATAGAACCAATTTCATGTGTTTGGTTAAACCTCAGTAGTGTCAGAAACTGCATTTTTTGTGTGTGTGTGTGTGGTTGCCATTGTCTTAAATTATTTTAATAAAATACTTTATATTTTATTTCACCCTGTATCCATCTAAATTTTGAATAAAATTAGAATGTTGTTGTTGTTGTGTGCCACTAAGTCAATTACAACTCATAGCAACCCCCTAAGATAGACTAGAACAGCCTCATTTAGAAAATATAAAATGTCACTATTTTAATGTGAGGTTTTGTGTTTTCTTGGGTTTGAGGTTTCTATTTCGTGCATGGAAACATGGTTTTAAAACTTTATACTGACAGATCACAGTGGCATGTTGCATTCTCAGTAAATGCATTGTTCTGGGCACTGAATAATGCAAGAAACATAATGAACCTTATGGTAGAAGCATTTTTAGTGCAGAAAGATGAAGTCTTCCAAAACATAATGTGCTTGATTACTTCTCATTTCCTTCTCAAAGACACTAATTCAGCTTTTACTTAAAGGATAAGGAAAAACACATAACAGTATTGAATGGTTTTCAAAATCTTTCATCTGTGGAAATACAAAATGTTTTTACTCACATTAATTAATGAACCCAGTGACAATTAAGGTAACCAATCAACATTTTTGTATAGTCCTACAGCCTGCAGGCCAGATAAATGAGGAGGAAATAATTTAACCAAAGTTATCTTACCCTACGTGAAAGTGCTCAATAGGGAACCCTTCAGCAAACTTCATTACTCTCCATTAGGGAGGAGAGAACAAAAAAGAATGTCGTTCAGCTGCCAGATCTCCCTTTTTTGGACAGTGACTATTCAAAATAAAGTTTTTAATTTCTGCCATGTATACATTTTGGGTAGAAAAACAAGTGCCCTTTTTAATTATAATTAGTTTTAAAATCATCAATGTGAAGATAATTATTTGTCAAGTCTTACTGGAAATTTCTACTACTTTCCAGAACATCAGTGTAAACAATGGAAAATGAACATGTCAACCATTTTTAAAACAATAGATTTAGATAATGCTTACTCACCTAAAAGAAAATAATAACAAAAAATAAAATCAAAAGGCTTAGCAAACACTTAAAAATAAAATGCTAACCAAACAGAAAACAGGATGTCAATGCTATCAAGAAAAATGAAATGTACCACACATAACCACTGTATGATAGTAACATCTAATGTTCCTTATCTAACAAGTCATCGTTATAGAAAACAGAGAAAGTTTGAAGAATATAACGGAAGAAAAGTACAAAAGTGTATTGAGGTTGTTGTTGTTGTTGTTAAGTGCCGTCGAGTCGTTTCCGACTCATAGCGACCCCATGCACAGCAGAATGAAACACTGCCCGATCCCGCACCAGCCCCAC